TATATTATGTACTGTTTGTTTTATTACTTCCGCAAAGAAACCGGTGGTTCTTCTGAGACATTTACTTACCGACCTCTATACAATCAACAACTTAGTGATGTGGCAAATATAATCATTGTCGCAGACTCGGTTTCTAGGAAATTGACTTATTCCGCGTAGGGTGGATATAGAAAAGGTCGATTGCACGCTAAAGATTTCTTAGAAAAATCTTGAAATATTTACTGAAAAGCCCTCTTAACACGCATTTATAGCGCGCCTATAAAATGCGCTTTTCCATTGTCGAAAGATTCGCGAGCGTTGCTTCGATTAAAATACGTAGTAAATTATTCTGAAGTGGAGTCGAAATAAGATATATCGCTTCGCTCTTCCAAAAAAAAAAAATATATTTATATAAAAAAATGTTCGATAAACTTTACATACATCGGCGAATCCATCCGACAGCGTCCGAATCGTCTGCGAGCAGAAAATAATGGATCGATTAACATAAATACACACACTATATAAAAATTTATTTATATTATAAATGTCGCGACTAACAAGCGCGTGTAGATCGCGAAACAACTTGGCGGGAAATGACAGTTCAAAGAGTGCGCATCACAAAATCGTGAAAGTAATGCCATCTCGCATCAGAAATGTCAAACGTATCAGATGATCAAGCTTTGTCGATAAAATGGGGATTTCTATTATAGATTTTTAAACATGATATGTTGGCACTATTGTGTGTGCGGATTCGAAAACAAATCCATTCACAAAAGTAGAGAGTACGTTACAATAAAGAAGCAACATGCTGCGTAAACGTCAGATGTTGTCAGTCGAATATTGAGTGATATGAAAAAGGTTTATGTGGCCGGTAAAAAAATAAAAATTTCAGTGTTTTTAACATGGCAATCCAAAGGTTAACATTATACGCGCATGATATTCGGGAACATGAATTAAATAACAGAAAAATAAGAAAAATTTGCTCTTACTTATACTTTTTAAAACAATAATAATAATAATATATATGTATATATCCAAATGAGAAGAAGCAAAGTATTTATCTCATAATTTCTATAATAAAAATGCATGCCTTTTGTAATACACACGCAATAATTCTTATCTCTTGTACCTTTTGCAAATATTTTCATTTAAACTGTGCATTGTTTACCTGCTTTTTATTATACAACAAATATGTGTATGGCATTATTGATATATATATATATGTGACATATATGTGATATATATAGATCCACATTTTTTTTCACAGAGAAAAAAATATCGTTATGAGTGAGATTACGAGTATTTTTACATGGACTCGCCAACTTGAGTGCCCACCAACAGCATACAATGATTCGATGAAAAAAATGTTTGTCTATTATTTTATCTATTTACTATGAAATTGTTGCTATTACTATCTTGCTTATTTCTTCATTTCCCTTAGATTGTGCAAGGGAGTACTAGAATTCCTGTGGGAGGATATTTCCAATTCTACATTTCCTGTGGCAGAAGCATGTAAAATAAGAAAAAATATTTTGTTGTATAAACTGAAGCATGGATTGAATGACTCTGCAATTACAGCTATAAAGCATTTAAACCAACTAAAATCTAAGAGTAATACATTGAAACAGCAGATATCTACATTAGAAGATGAGTATGAAGAACAAGATTATGTTGTCAGACAAAAAAGTAAGATAAAAAGAAATATGCATTAATTTTAAGAATATTTTAAAATGCAATGTTAACAAGTTCTATTTCAGTGCAACGGTTGAAAGACATAAAGGACAAGCGTTCAATGATCAGTACGAGAAAAGATTTCCTGAAACTGAAACATGATGAAACCAGTAAGCAGTTGAAAGATTGCGGTGTCATGAGACAAGTATGTCAACGTTTAATGCCAAACACTTCCAAGGATATAGGTCAACAAAAATTGAGAGAGAATCTGGATACAATAGCAGACTTGCGTTCAACTACAAATAAAAAAAAGCAAGTGAGTATTATACTAGAATATTGTTATATAAAATCATAATTTACAGTATAACATCGTTAAAAATGATACTTTGTTAATAGGTTTGGGAAAAGATATCGAATTCTCTTGGTAGTATCGATATACACACATTATGGACACATTTGTATCAAGCATTGTCACAAGATTTAGACAAATTAATGAAGCTGGAGATTAAAAATGATTCTAACAACTCGACTGTAGCGAGCGAGAATATAGATATCGGTATTGCAAGAGCATGTGGCCAAAATATATGCATGATATCAAAACGTATATTGTCTAACGCTAAAGTTAAAATATACCAGCAACGTTTAATGGAATTCATAGAATTAATTGAGGTAATGTGTGGATTTTTTAAACAGCTATAAAAGAGAGATATATTTGTCAAAGAAAATAAGATTAAAATTATTACGTATTTTATCTTGCAGTCGTTATCCCACGAAGATATTAACACGTGGTTAGCTTTAACATTGGAGGTGAAAAAATTAGAAGCTGAACAAGTATATTTGCAAAACGAAGTACAGGGATTGAAGAACAATATCCAGGACAACTTTTTACTTAATCACGATATAGCTCAGTTAACGACTGATATAGAAACAGTTGACGCACAGATGGTACATTTTGGCATTTAATATTTTACGTTTAACACGATTATTGATATTGATATATCAAGTATGTTACAGGACGGATATATAAAGGATATTCAGCAGTCTATAGCCATTTTCAACTCTGCAGCATCGCTTATACTTAAGGCGAAAGAGAAGTTGCAATATGAATTACAAAAGATAGTGGCGTTACAGTCCGACGATTATGATCCGAAATGTTTGAATAACCCGTTGGACATCGAACTGGATATGTTTTATAATAATTTAGATCTCAATGCTTTGCGAAAAGTAATGTTGAAAGGAGATGTGGGACTATACAGGTTGGTAGAAGTTTTATGCGATAAATTTTGCGTTAATATTTTACACGATCATTAATATGGCATGTGAATTATCTCGCACAGATACACAATTTGTAATCTCAGTAAAGTCTCCATTACCACAATTAATCCGCAATTTTCGAGGATTAAAGCTTACTTCCCGATGATACAGATGCCAATATATTGTCTCATAGAATGCTATAGGAATGCGATCGCCAGTATAATTTATACGAAGTTACATTGTTCCGCATCAATCAAAGATATTGATCAATGCACTGATAGATTAGTATCACGAGAAAAATGCGATTATAATAGCCTGGAGCTATTAAGCTTCGGCAAAGTCGTTTGCGACCAGGCACGCGAAGAGATCGAGCATTTTAACGCGATTTTAAGAGCTTGGTAAGTTAATCTATGCAAAATAATATTTCGAGCTGCAATTATCTTGAATTTAAATATATCCCGTTTTTCTAGGACATATCAAGAAGTACAAGAAGCGATGGCGCTTGTCGAAACTACTGTAGACAATGTATCCTTTAAAGATTGGTTGCAGCGTTATAGCTTATTATTGTACATGATACAAAATGGTAAATGATCAAAATGTGCATCCGCCGTTTATCTACACCTATGTTATTATCACGCGTGTGCAAAGAGTTTTGTATAAATATAACGTATTTTTATATACCGAATAGATAAGCTTGTACAAAAATTTCAGAAATACGAGAAAATGCGATAAATTGATAATATAAATCCTTTCATCAAAATTAAATTTTTTGCGAGATATAATTGGTAAAAATAATTAAATAAAATAATTTGCAAATTCTAATTATAATGCGTGACAGAGTATAAGAGATAATGGTACTATCGATATGGAAAATACACAGGAATAGTAAATAGACTTATATTTTTCACAAAAATATGTCACGTAATACATGTAATGAACCAATTGTACGATTAATTAATTTTTGTTATAATAAAATGTAGAAATTCTCCCGATGTAAGAGCACTTGGAATTTTCACAGATCACTCTATCACGAGATTGGCGGCACATGCCCATAAATTGCTTTCGGCGTATCCCACCTCGGCGAGTCACTTGCAACAAAATAACTTCAAGTTCTCGACCGAGTGGGAGAAAAAGATCGCCGGATTGTCCACGTATATTTCTCTTTTTGTACCATACGTATGCATCTAATATCTATTTTATGATCGCTGCAACGATCGTATTTTGGCTGATATTTAACACAAAAAAAAAATTCAACGATGATATTCCACAAAATATAAATTGTAAATTTAAATAGTCGCATGAATGCTTACGTACGGTACATGTGTATAAAATTATTGTAAATAGATCACGATCGAAGAGCTTATTATCAATTTAGATAATAGAAGAATTAATGTTTAACAGTGTTGTGTTTTCTTTCGATAAATGATATGAGATCTGGTGCAATAAATGTCCAAGGATATATTTCTACTTATTTATGAAAGGGAAGGAAATATAATAAATCGAGTCTATTTATATATAGAAATAAGCTCTTCAATTATACACGCCATAATCTATATTATTCAAATTATAAGATTCGAAGGAAGGGCAGTAATCGGACTGGAGGTTTAAGAAAAGTCGAAACCTCAAGTCATTCCTTTGACACGTTTTTTTGTTTTTTTCTTTTTTTTTCTTATGTACGTAGCCGCAACTCTATAACTCGTCCATCCTAGCTCGATTTTATTTATACAATTTTCGCCTCTTATACATACACGCATGTGGATTTATATAAATTAGCACTCTGACCCCTTAATTTGATTTTTTTTTTTTATTATTTCGATAGCACGAAGTGTGGCTTAGCGACCATCGCACCTCGAATTCTCTCTTCTTTTAACGTAATATAAAACTAACTTACCTATATGTACAAGACGCTATGTATTATATATAAATGCGCGAAGCGAGCGAGACAGGCCTTTCGTTGTTTTAATCCTTTGATTTCGGCTGAAGAGAGCTTAAAAGAACCGATAAAACAAATATTTCCAATCTTCATACTCAATCTTTGATATACAAATTCAACATTGCAAAGAAAATACTTATCAGTCTTTTTTAACTTATATTCATTTTTTTATAATTTAACGATTTGTCGATTATTGTCTTATTTTAAATAACATCATCATCCTACCTAAATCGATAGTCCAAATTCCTTCGAGGACGTGGTTCAATTGTTGCGCATCCTGAAGAGATTCTCAATACAAGTCAAAGAACTAACAATCATAGCAGAAAAACTTAACGCACTCGCTTCGCATATTCACACGCGTTAAATAGTGACAACCAAAACGACGAAATGATCCGCGATGAGGGCGTCGTGATGCCAGGACCGGACGTCGACTATTGGGGGCACGAAGAAAGAAGAAGGAGGAAAAGTAGAGGATCGGAGTCCCTCTCGCGAGTCGACAATCACAGAAATCGGTTACTGATATTTCTAACCGATGTCTTTGAGCTTTAAGTATTGAGCAAAGGCACGTCTATCTTCTTAAGACACGCTGACGCGATCGTATCCTTCTTACTCCGGTTCGTTCAACACTAACGTCCGTACTCTTGAGGATTTACGATTCGATTAAGTAAACATAGACTGATTCATTATGGACCGTTTTAATTGTATAAAAAAATTCATAATATTATATAATACATAAAACTCCAATTTTTAATTTCATTCAATAACATTTTGGATTATAAATAACCATCCAGTGTGTGATACTAATGTACAATAAATAAAACTTTTAGAATCTACATAATAGCGAAAGAGAAAAAGAGAGACGAATGAGCAAGGTTCAGTAAACTCTGACGAGACAATAATTCACATAACATCGCTTTAAAGTTGCGAATATGACCGGATGTCAACGACCGTGACTTTTATCACAACGAGCATTCCTCCGATCTACCGCGGTCCTTCTGCGCTAATGAAATTGTGAAACCTCGCATAAAAGTCCGTTCGTCTCATCATCCGGCTCGGTTAAGGTCACCAGATTCTTTTGACGAACCGTGCGTTTCTATTCGCGACCGAAATGTAAACGAAAAGATCTCTCATTTAATTATATAACAGTACCGCGTCAAAATGCAGCTATTGTAATTTACCGTTATTCACTTAATTTTTTCTTTTACATAACGTCAAGATCGCGCCATGTCCGATACGTTCCTCGGAACGGACATCGCAAATTTCTACCAGGAGTACACACGAGCAAGCGATCATAAAATATGCAGAGTTTATTTTTATCGAAGTGGAAAGGACATATTTCCCGACATCGCGAGAGAGAGGGATCGAAGACGATCATCCAAGTATTATATTTCCAATTCGCGAAAGCGAATAAGGAATGTCGACGCGATGATTCATTAGCCGATGTAACTACCGGGGTTCTCAGAAAGATAATTTTTATCGTGTTGTATTCATCGTTCTTTCCCGGTTCTTCTCTACTTCTTTTTTGAATGACTTTATCAAAGTCGCTTAACTTGTTCCGAATGCGACTATAAATGTCTATATACGAAGATTTTTCGTGTAATTCGATTTATATTTATTTCCGAAATAAATAACTCTATTTTTCCCATAATCATCGTGGAGAATCAATGCTCGCGAATTGTCAGCTGATTGTCAATACCAAATCGTTTACTATTCGAGGAGGACATACATTATTGTCAGAGTTTCTAAAAATCGCAGACTTGTTCATTCGCCTTGCTCAAACCTTCGATCTATACCGACGTTAAAAAAACCGGCTCGTTTCTTACGCTCATAAGAGCACCAAGATACGATCTGTCCGAGCGTCCTTCTGCCGTCAGTCGGATTACGGTTACGTGCGATCTTAACTAGAGCTAGCTAGCTAGAGAGTTGCCACGCGTGTCCGTAAAACATCAATATTTGTATACCCCGAGCCGAAAGCGTGCGACGCAATTTTGTACTTTTTTCTTTTTCTTTTGATAAGGAAATGCGTCGATCTCGGTGAAGCCTTTGATCCTTCGCGTGATATTGACAGATTAGGGATAAAGAAAGAAGGAGAGAGAGAAGAAAGCCCGCTGGATCCTTCGACCTTTCCGTGGAAAGGAAAACACGACGTCGCGTGGCGAGAGAGAAGATCGACTAGGCTAAGCGTTCGCTCGAAAGTCACTCGACATTCGCGAACGATTTTCGGAGGCTGAGCTCCGTCGCTAAGCTTTCGCCATTCACGTAATAATCGGCGGCATCCCTTCTCCTGGGTGAGAAACCGTTGGCGACGCCGTTAGCGATACTGCCGTTCGCAATGCGGTTTGCAACGCCGTTCGCCCTGCCGTTGACGATGCCATTGGTGACGCCGTTAGCGATGCCGTTCGCGTGTTTGCCCTTCGATTGATCGCCGTTAGCGATCACGCCGTTCGCCATCACGGCGCCCGATTTCCTGGGCCTCTTCTCCTGGTAACTCTGCTGATAGAACTCCTTGAACAGGAAGAGGAACATGACGGCGTGAAGACCGATCCACCAGACAAACGCTTTTGGATAGTTGCACTCGATGAAGAGCAACTGGAAGGCATGGACCATGATGGCGATGAACTGTAGCATCTGGAATGCGGTCAGATATTTCTTCCACCAAAGGTAGGGTTGTACCTTTGGACCCATCGCCGCCAGAAGGTAATACGTATACATCACGATGTGAACAAAGGTGTTTAATAAACCGAAGAAGGTCGAGTGGCCGCCTGGAAGATTAATCATTAGCAGTAATTAATATGAAAATCTTTACCCACTTCTTAGTTTACCGTTTATTAGAGACATTAATGTGAAAATTATGAGAGAACAAAAATCGCATTCCCCAGATTATTTATAAATTAATTGTTTCAAATTATTTATCATTATTAAATTAATCATTTGTACGTTTAATTGACATTATCATATTATCTTTCTAATTGCTTTATATTTATTATATATAAAAAAAATATCATTATTAATGGAAGTTTATCACACGATTTTTAAAATTAAAGAGAAAAACCTCAAGTTCTTTCGAAAAGAATTTCTGATTAAAAAGCATATATTTATTTATTTATATATATATTTCTATATCTCTTATAATGAATACTAAATAATAATTTAAAGATAGTATATAACATACAAAAAAAAACAATTATTTTCGTAATTTCTCAAAGAGTGTAATCAGCATGACTTGCATGTCGGTTTCGTAATAACCAATGCATTTGTACATACACATGAGGAAGACTCAACTTTCTAGAATACAACGCAAAAGATTGTGCGATGACATTGACACAAATTAGTTTTGCAAAATCGACCGAGTTGCAACGAATCAGTCATGTAAGAAATTTTGGTAAACAATTTCCTTTTTTTACCTACCAGGGGTGAACTTGACACCGAACCAGACCGACATGGGCATACAACCATGATGAATCACATGTAATGTAGACACGTGATTGTTCTTCTTTCTCAACACAAAGAAAATCTGAAAAAGAATGCGCACGATCAGCACACACGGAGATTATAATCGAATATACATTGATATACAGGATATTCCAAGTCAGGTCAATGAAACTTCAGGATTTTATAGAAAATTGAATTTGGAACAAAAAAGTTCCTATAAATATAGATTCAGAAATATTTCGTTAAAAAGTTATGTAAAAGCAACCATCAACGATCCCTTTTCCATTCGACGTTGTCGGGGAAAGCTCGCTCGTGGAAACCGGAAGTATCGCGAGTCACGTCACTTCGCCGAAGAAGAGGCCCGCGCCTCGATCGACGTCCTGTCGTGCAGATGGTGTTAGCGGAGGACGCGGATTACGAAAATGTATTCCGGGAAAATTTCAGCTGACCCTGCGCGCGACGCTTGATACACGCGATCGGAGGTTCACGCGATTCTCGACAATTTTCTCAGTATTGATGTATCACTTAATAAACTTCGAAAAATCACGTTTTTTGATGATTTTTAAAAATAACTTCAAATCCTTCAATAAAAATCCTTCATTCATTTGAAAAAAAGTAACAAAATAGATCTGATGGGTAATTAAATAACAAACTAAATTACACCAATTTCATTTAATTCTGATAAGGCATTCAAAAAAAAATAAGCTCAAAACAACAAAAAAAGCAGAAACTTGAAAAAACCACCTTTCGATGGTCTTTGTATAAACGCTACATTCGTAATGCAAACATTTCAAATACAAACATGAAAATGTTCTTATTAAATTTTGATCATAACTACTTATAATTACTTACAGAGAGTTTATTAACTATAACTTTTTAACGAAGCATTTCCGGTCCTATGTTTATAGGAACTATTTTGTTCCAAATTCAATTTCCTATAAGACTCTGAAGTTTCATTAACCTGTCCTGGAACACCCTGTATATAAAGAGAAATAATTAGTATATACTCTATACGTACCGTGTCCATGAATTCGGTAAATTTCGAGAAGTAATACCACCAGCTTGCGTGGACCATCTGCGATTACGAAACATCAATTAGGAAGAACTTCTCAATCGCCCCTTCTCTATCTCAAATTTATGTGCGAAATTCTCTTTTACTTTACTTTACTTGCAAAATATAATCCTCAAATGTAATATTCCTAAATTTCTTTTATATTCCCGTATCAAACATCAAGATACACGCTTAAAATATCTTTGAACATTTACTATACAAGTAAATTAGAAATTAGTTTTATTTAGAAACAAATAGTTCGTGTTAGAACAATTTGGGGGAAAAAATGATTTCTCAATCGATTGACCGTGTACAGATAATTATCACTTTAACGTAAATAGAATAAAAATAGAGACATTTATCGAGACCTTTAAAAAGCAATTTTCAGATAGTGCTAAAAACATCGCGGGAACACATCGACATATATTGTCATACATTAGTGTATCCGAAAGTCCGTGAAAAGATAATCGTCATTAAGAACGGAGTGCGTCTCAGTACAATATGTCAGTGCAATGACAGGAATTAATGTAATGCGATGATGCGTGAATGAAAGAAGATTACGTAACTTGCAGCGTGCTCGTTGCTACTTTTAAAAGACGCAGTATTTCTCATCACAACACATGTGTTAAATAATGTTAATTATAGGCGGTTAACTATAGTTTAGTTTAAAGTTATTCTCTATCGCAAACTCTACCAAGTTCGTCTACTACCTACCGGTTTTGATTCTTCTTTAAATACACTATACGAGAGTTATTCGGAAATCAACTTCCTAGGTTGATTTGATTGGTAGATTTGCAAAATAAAACAAGAAACAGGAAGAAAAATTTTATTATACACAAAAATTACTTGCATATATACGCTATTTTTCACAATCGCAAGGTGCCAATCCAGCACAAGTTTTTGTATGCCATCATCAAAGTACGGTGCCGCCAAACTGGAATCAGCCAACTTCCAGTACTGCTCATCAGCTCCACGTTGCCCTTGAACCACTGTGTTCCTAGCTATATTTTCATACATGTGAATAGGTGAAAGTCCCTCTGCGCAAGGTCCGGGCAGTAGAGTGGGTCGAAGGCCTATTGCACTATTCCAGAAGTTCCAATGGGAATTTTCGATCACCTTGCACCAATTGACTTTCACCTGTTTACACGCACAAAAGTGTGGCTGAAAACGCAGCAATTCGAAGGCAACAAGGAGTCGATGAGTGCTAGGAGTTGGCTGACGAGATTTCAGTTTGGAGGCATCATATTTTGATGAGGGCATACAAAAGCTTATGCCGGGCTACAACAAGTGTCTCAATTCGAATAGCGATTATGTCGAAAAGTAGTGTACATATATAAGTAATTTTTGTGTATAATAAGACATTTTTCCTGTTTCTTGTCTTATTTTGCAAGCCTATCGAAGGTTGATTACCGTATAGCCCTCGTACGTACAGACTCTAATAAGTACGGTGACTACAGGAGTGATACAGAACCGGTCACATTGATTCACTTACAGAAAAAAATGAAGCAAGTTCTTGATAAAGGAAAAGTTCCCGAAATAATCCTTCAATAAAAAAGATAATTATTAATTTATATATCAGAGAAAGAAGTGTGACATATATAAAATATATAAAAAAAGATTTAAAGTACAATATAAATTCTCTAATCGTTTGATATATGAAATGTTATGAGGATTGCCTTTCTTTTTTTCATTAAAACACTTCGAGTTAATTTTTTTTTTTTTTTGTTTGACCGGCGCTGCGCGTTATGAGATTAGACTATGCGGAAAACAAAGAAATAATATTAACATTAACATGACGAGGAAGAATGATTCTGTTAATCACAAAACATCACCCACCCTTAATACTTCAGGTCTGTCGCTGTAGTCTACAGGTTGACACCTTAGAGAATAGTCTCCAGTCAGCCAGCCGGATATCCCTATCTGCAACCACATTCGCCCAGAGGCCATTCGCCGATCAATCAAAAGAAGATAAAGATGATAAAAGGCCAAAGGTATATAAAGTAGTATTGCATAAGCCTAACTAAAAGAGCTATGCTATAAGATATGTGCAAAACTTCACGAATGTCACGTCGCACCTTCCATCAAAAAATAGTCGCAATTAAAAGGAAGGAAGAGAAGTCATCTCGACTTCTTTTGTGTGTATTCCCGAAAAAAATTTAACAATTTCAAATTTCTTTCTTTCAGTTCACAAAATGATTAGAGACACATGTGACATTTCTAATTAACTACAAAAATTATTCTGCGACTCTTTTGCAACAAGGTGCGATATATATTCAACATATCCGATAAACATTTAATGAATATCTAAGCTTGCGAAAGATTGTATCAAGGCGCTCGAAGGGTATGTCAGGCTTTTTATATGAGATGAGCAGAAAAGCGTAAGCTCTTCGACGCCAAATCACACGTCTCCGCATCATTTATTCGCCCTTGCAGCCAAGCCTTCGTTCGGAAATACGAAATTCGGACCCCCTTCTACAAAATTAATTCTACAATATAGTTGTAAAGATGAGTAATCCTTAATCCAAGCTAAGTATATATGTATCAGCAGTTCCACAGCTTGGTGTGTGATGATCTGTATCTGTCAAGGTTGTTCATATACATATATATATGTATACACATTGCATCGGTAAATAAATCAATTCGGTTCTATGATCTTGAAATTGTCGTCTCGTTGAAATGTAGAAGATTCGTCTCGTCGAACGATCCAGCTAGATTACAGACGCGCTTGGTTGGCACGCACTTACCCTTATCGCGGTGGGGCTGTTGGAGTAGTCCACTGGCTGGCAGCGGTAACTATAATGGTTCCACCATCCGCCCATGAGACACTGCGCGTTGCAAAACAAACGTACAATCATGCTTTCACACACACAGCTTTGTCATTGGCGCATTCCCGAATTGCCACTCGTTCGCGAATTCGAAAGGCTCGTAATCGATCGTCAATCGGGCGCTCTTGTTATTTAACTTATTATTTCTTTTCGCGACATATTTATTGAAAAATTTGCTTCTTTTTTTTGCGTCCAGATATTTTATTGCATATTTTGAAAAAATTGCAACGGTATATATAAAACAAGGTGTCTACTCAAATCTTGTATAAAAATTCCCTGAAAATTCTCTGGTCTTCCAGGTATTTTTGTTCAAAATTCCAGATAAAGAAAATATTTTTTGATGCAACTTTTTAATATAAGTTTTTTTATTGCATGCGTTTCCTAATGTTTTTCATTCATACGAAGGAAAGACAGAGAGTCTCTTAAGTTTCAAGTGCTATATTTGTAAATGTACTGAAAAAAACTGAATAACTTTCGAAAGATAAACATATTTTTCACTTGCATATAAAATTTTCATTTTTTTATCACTAAAAATTACAATAAAGAGTAAATAAAGAGTATGTACTGCATATTCAATATTTTGTTAAGACATTGAATATATAAATAAATACATATAAATATATTAGGTCTACCGGAAAGTTCTGTCCGTTTTTGTAATAAAACAAAATACAAATTTTTATTACCGTCAATAAACTTTATTAAATAATGTAATTGTCATTATTATTAATGATATTGTCAGCAACTGGATAATTTAAATACAGCAGTCCAAGAAAAGAGGCCGGCGATGTCCAATAGGAAGAACATCATACTGCATCATGATAATGCCAGGCCACATGCTGCTTTGGATACTCGTCAAAAAATTGCAGAACTAGGCTGGAAAATTCTGTCGCATCCACCATATTCCCCGGACTTAGCACCCACCGACTATCACTTGTTTTTGTCCTTACAAAATTTTTTGAGGGGCAAAAAATTCAAAAATGAAGAAGATATCAAACAAGCACTGGTTCAATTTTTCGCATCAAAAGATAAAACATTTTTCGAAAATGGGATATACAAATTGCCCTCACGCTGGCAAGAAATCATTAATAATAATGGCAATTACATTATTTAATAAAGTTTATTGACGGTAATAAAAATTTGTATTTTGTTTTATTCCAAAAACGGACAGAACTTTCCGGTAGACCTGATATATTTATAATATATTTTAAACACATAATTTACTTGGCTCGCCGACTATTTACAATATAAAAGCAAAATTATCAAAAAAAAAATTTTTTAAGAAAATTCCCTGAACCCCAATAAAATTCCATGAGAATTCCCTAATTTTTCCAGGTACAAAAAAAAATCCCTGAGAAATCCAGGTTTTCCATATTTTTCCAGGTAATAGACACCCTGATAAAAGTGCGTGAGTTTAATCAAGGAATGCACTAATAACAAATATATTTGTTGTAGATAATCAAATTGATCGTCGTGACTGTTAAGATAGAAAGTTTTCGTTAGACATCGCTTCGCGTTCCAGTGGCTGCCAGCGGACACGGAAAGATCGCGAAATCATCAGTTAAATAAGCAGCGTGCTATATCTTGAGATCATTATCATTCGTTCTCAACCGTGTCGCGACGAGCATCGGACTTCGATGGTGACTTCAAAACTCAACGATAACTTCGAAAATCCGAAACTGCGCAAATCGCATAATTGTAGAAATCCAGAAATTATCATAATTTATTAACAGATAATTGAAAAGTCTTGAATTTTAAAAACAAAATTTTATGAAACCCGAAATTTTTCCGGATTTTGTGTCGATTCATATATACATACATACATACATATACAGGGTGTTCCAAGTCAGGTCAATGAAACTTTAGGGTTTTATAGGGAAATGAATTTGGAACAAAAAAAATCCTATAAACATAGGTTCGAAAACGCTTCGTTAAAAAGTTATAACTAATAAATTCTCTGTAAGTAATTAATTATGATCAAAATTTAATAAAACATTTTCGTGTTTGCATTTGAAATATTTGCACTACGAATGTAGTGTTTACACAAAGACCATCAAAAGGTGGTTTTTTCAAGTTTCTGCTTTTTTCGTCGTTGAAATTGGTGTAATTTAGTTTGTTATTTAATTACTCAGCAGATTTAGTTCGTTACTTTTTTCTGTTGAATGAAGAGTTTTGAAGGTATTTTTAAAAATCATCAAAAAAACGTGATTTTTCGAAATTTATTAACTATATAACTTTTTAACGAAGTGTTTCTGAATCTATGTTTATAGGAATTTTTTTGTTCCAAATTCAATTTCCTATAAGACCCTGCAGTTTCATTGACCTGATCTGGAACACCCTGTATATAGCTTTTAAAAACATAAAAAGAGATTCTCTCATTTATTCTGACTATTTCTAAGATTTGAAAATCTTTAACCTACGACGAAATTTGCATGGCAAAAAATACGGAAAATCGAAGAATAGCTGAAATAGAAACAGGAATAATCTCCAACCTTTTACGTCTCCTGAAAATTTTTCTTTGTATTGAATAAAGTTTCCTGAATCTGTCTGTCTCGTAACAGTTTGTATTGTAAGAGAGCAAATATCGAATTCTCACCTCATAAAACAGCCACGCGGAGAAGATCACTTGAAACAGGTTGTAGACTACCAGAGTATCCTTAAGTTGGAAAGGTTTTCGGTTCTCCATAATCTTTGGACCCAATACTTTGACGACGTAGACATAACCGATGCAAATGAACAACGTGGGAAAGGGCGAACTCATCAGCAACCAATCAGTCGTCCTTGTATCTGTAAAAAAAAACATCAAAGCGATTCACGAGAATGACCTTGAGTTGTTTTTCGTTCTTTCCTCAAAATATTTTATATAAAATCATCATATATATATCAAAAAGGAGAATTTTGGTACGGTTCCATCTGCATCAATTAGTATTGAAATTGTCAAAATCAAAATTTATGTCGTTTGGCCGCTTTTATTTTCAGAAATAAATCTGCTTGGTTTCATCGTGGCAACAAAGTGAGTGCAACAAATATGCGGATATGGCCGGGAGCGATATCCTTCTCTTTCTCTCGCCTACAACTGGGAGTGATCCAGTGACCATGATTTAACGGCGGTAAAAATCACCGTCTTGTCCTTGAGCGCGAACGCGCGAGATTTCATCGCTTCGAAGGACCACTCAGGCATGCACATGACGTCCTTTCATGCGATGTCTGGCGCACTTTTTTCATCATTCTCGTCCTTCGAGGGTTCAATCACTCTCCCTTGCTTTTCCCGTGACGTAGATTGGTACATATTTGCGTCACATTGCGATTAATTTCTTAAAACTTCTTGCCAAACAAAAATCAACGAATTGATGAGCGAAACGAATAAAGAACAGCAAATATGTTTTATTTATGTAAATATATATAAAAAATGAGAGAGAGATTATGCAAATTCTTTTCGGAATAGAGATAAGTATATGAATAAGAATCATAATTCATTTACATATGTCAGAAAATGTTTCGGCGTTTATAAATAAGAAATTTACATATAAACAAGAAAAATTACTTGTATTATTTACGAATGCAAATATTTTTACGAAAAAAAGACTACATGTGCGTAACCAGTAATTTTATTTCAATTTTCAATTTTCAATTCTTTTCGGAATAGAGATATATGAATAAGAATCATAATTCATTTACATATGTCGGAAAATGTTTCGGCATTTATAAATAAGAAATTTACATATAAATAAGAAAAATTATTTACATTATTTACGAATGCAAATATTTTTATGAAAAAAAGACTACACGTGCGTGATCAGTAACTTTATTTCAATTTCAAAAAATGGAAATTTAAAAAAAAAAAAAAAGTTTGCAGCTGTGAAAAATTACATGTATTTTTACGGGAAAACATGTGTGTCTTTTTCAAAGCCACAGCGTAAATTTTTCTTTATACATGCGTCAAGCAATTCACACTTTTCGCATGGAAATCACAGGCAAAACGATTAACTAAACTGATTATGAAACTGAGCCATATGTCAATGAAACACTTTGTATTCGCTGTTTTAATGTACACGTTGTTGCGCGTATCTTTCGCGTTCTAATCGAATGTTGGTTAATATTTCGATAAACACGGATCGTTCTCTTTATCCAAGTAAATAAACGACCAAAGAATAAGCGCAATTAAATTATGAATCACACCAATAAAACCGTTGTAAGATATCGGATTTCCCTCGGATAATCGACCGATTGCGAAAAAAAACTCTTGCTGCGATAAAACCAACAGTACGTTATTCATACAGACTGAAGAATTTTTCATATTTTACTAATTTTATGATAAGTATCAGAAGCATATTTTTTTCTTACGTCCGCTGTACTTTACGTACGCAGCGCAAGGTTTCTTGACGAATTGAAAGAATTTTTACAGATTTACCAATTTCTCCGAAATATATATAATACATATTTAGAGAATTATTATACAGAATATAAAACGCCCGCGGGATATCCAGCAAAGTCAAATATATGACTTATCTTTGAACATCTATTGCCTCCGGAGAGGATATCCTCTCGATATATGTGCATTTATATTATTTCACAAATCATTTGAAGAGTAAATATAAAATTTTTAACACAATTTAAATCAACGGATAAAAATTTATGTATCTGGATTTGATTATTGAGATATAGAATTAAAATTATAAAAAGTTTGATTACAAAACTGTTTTATATATAATCCAAATACCTGTAAATCTTATAAACAGCCGTACAGAATCAAGAATGAATTGAAGAGACGTAAACGTTTGAATACAATATTAACAAGACATCCGCGGAATTATCTAACAGCTGTTACACGAAATATAAAGATAAACTCAACAATACGATAGTATCTCGCGCTATTTATTGTTTTTTCTCGTACATTAATTATGTAAATTCGAAGGATATAATACCGCGAAGAGGCGTTCATTTATCGCGCGGCTCTCGAAATGATCGCGCAACTACGTAATCGTCAATTATAATATGTCGATGATGTCATCATGCATGGCACGCTTCTAGGCACCATAGAATTGAATTTTTGCTCTGTTTCATTATCATTCAAATCATTTATCAATATGCAAAACGTATGTATTTCTTCTCGACTCCCTCGCATGTTTTTGTTTATTCCTTTTGTTTACTCACCTGCGTGTTTGTCCAACATATCGTGGAACCGATCTATGTACTGCATTATAATCGACATTTTGCCAGAGAGCTATCTTGAGATCTTCTTTAGACGGAAATCTCCTGGAGCGAAGTCTATTGTTCCCGCGGCGATCACCTCTTTTCTGAAAAACAGAACAACGAATTCTCGAATTATAATAAATTATAATATTGTAATTATAATAACAAAAAAACATATACATTAAAAATAAAATTTTTTTTTATCGTATAAATATATTCTTTTAATTTTGATTTTTTTTTTTTTTTTACTTAAATAAATATATACTTTGTTTCCAAAAATGTATGAAGATAAAAAATTATTTATTAAAATCAAGAAAACCTGTGTTTTTGAAACAAGCAGCCAAAAATTTAAAAATGTTTTTTTAAAGGAAGTAATTTAATATAATAAAAATAACAAAACAAATTTTTTTATTTGCAAATAAAAACATATATTGCTTTTATTTTATATTTTACTAATTCAAATATATTTGCTATCTGATTGAAATAATTAATTTGTTTGCAAGTATATAAATAAATAATTTTTTTAAATAAAAAAAAATCGTTTGGATTTAGTACATTTTTTTCAGTGTAATAATAAAAAAACACAGTTCCTACAAGATATCGTGACATTAATTAGCCTTGCGATAGACAACGCATTCGGAACCACTTCAAAAGATACCTATCTTCTTTATTAAAAAGTCGTCAGTAAAAATTAATAAATTATATCGTGTAGTCCCCCTTTTTCCTTTCCCCAATTAATCAAAACATATAGAATTATTATAATTGATCTGCTGTTTTCATTATATATTTTTCAGCGATGTAGAATCGCTAAGAAAGAATGAAATATGTATTAAAAATAATTGCTAATTTCATAATAAAATTTTGAACCATATTTAATACAATAATGACAGCTATTGCTGTCATTATTGTATTAAATATGGTTCAAAATATATATTTCGTTCAAATCATCGCCCTCTCTCTCTCTCTCGACGGTAGACTCGCTCATCTGAGGTAGCCGCTACTGTTACAGCTACCGAATTCTTTCTTCGCGAAAACGATTACGCGACACAATTGGACAAGACGATGTCGCGCAACTCACCGGGTTCGACCATGAAACGACGAGAAACGTGGCCTTGAACCATTATACCAAACATGTTCGTATATATCGTACACAATGACACGATTGAATTTCAATTCCTTCGCGGCTCCGGGGAGGACGAGTGCTCCTATAAATACACAAATGATGCGCTCGCCACTTTGTTGTGCATTTCTCTCTCTCTCTCTCTCTCTCTCTCTCTCTCTATCTTCGCCATTCTGGAATCTACTAATCCTTGCCGATCCTCCCGAGACTGACATCGTCTGTATTTTATGTAATATACGTCAAATCAAACGTAATTCATCGATCGAGCAACTAAGCCCGTTGGTTGAGTGCAACAAGAAGATGACTTTTCGATTAAAAAATAATATCAATTTTTGCAAATCATTAAAAAAATAGAAGCTAATGATTTTATTAGTGGTTGTTGCGTTAACGATGCGGACAGTTGTTGCATGTGTCCTACTTGTCCAAGGCTATGAATTATGGCACTTTCATATGTCAGCTTGTTTCTTATCAAAATAAAAAAATTAAATAAACACTTGAATTTTGCAGACGATACGAATTGGAAAGAATTAATCGTTAAAATTAAAACTAGCCAGCTTAGCTTAATCGGTCGGCGCTAATTGATAATAATATATGCACGAAAATCTCGATGGATTTTTGAATTTTTTTCACGTTCCTGCGAAAAGTAACTTTACTACGGGACTAAAGACTAAAAAGGAGAAACAAATGTATCATAACACACACATTTCACATATAAGAAAATGAAAAAGTTATTTCAATTTCTACACTTCGGGACGGAGAACGAAATTAACAGGTTGCCTAGTAACCCACTGCTCGTTTGCCACGGTTCAATAACCCGTTGAATTTCGTGAGAAAAATTCACCAAAGAATTCTCGCATAAATAATTTCAAATACATATAGCCACCGATCTCGTTCCTTCCGCGTTGAACGAATCTCAAAAGGAAAAGAAAACTAAAAGAAAAACCATCCGAGTCTCAAAATCTAAAAATAAATTTCCGATTTTCGCGATGTGTTATTGATAAGGTATCTATTTTATAGATACCATGTTTCGTACGAGATATCTATTACATAGATAACTTCAAGTGCCACTTGCGGCACTTTCCGAATCTCTCGAGAGTATCGGTATCGAGAGGAGATATAATAAATGACTGGTCATGATTAATAGTAATTAATATTTCCTCGCGTAGCCGTCTTACAAGCGTAAAAAAAACCAAATTTTTCGGAAGATTTCGCGAAGAGCCAGGGAGAAGAGGATCCAGGCCGAGAACGAATGGAGGTCGATCCGAATCCTCCAGAGCGCGACGATCGTCGTAGCTTTAGGTGTTTTGCCTGCTTGCAAAACGAAAAGCCGAAAACGCGCCGAGCAAGCGAAATATCGCCGGGATTATGTTGCGAAAACTGTATACATTATAACAGAGTCGAGCGCGACAGAAAATGGGCCGGATCGTATATATATGCATGTCTGTTGTATGACATTACGCAAGAAATCGGTTGGTCGCACCTGCGTAAGCACGTGTATGTGTGTATGTATATATATGTAAGTATGTGTATGCCTGTGTGTATGTATGTGTGTACGTCGTCCGTCTCCGTCTACCTGAAACCGTCATCTAATCTAATCAAAGAAAGGGGGAAAGATTGAAAGAGAAGAGGTAACGGATGAAAACGCGTGCATCTTTTGCACACGGTTACTTATTACTAATATATACTTTTTACTAGAGATGTAAAAAAACCGGTTTTTTTTTCAATAGAAAAAAAAAAACAGTTAAAGAAGAACGTGTTTCTTTTTCATTATTTTTTTAAATATAATATCATTTTTCTTTATATTTTTTTTTTTTGTTAACATAATAAAAAAAACTAAAGTTCTTATATTTTTAATTTATTTTTTTTCGAAAGTAATTAATTTGCGATAATTATAATATAAAGACATATTAAATAACTGAAAAAAAAAAATTTTTTTGAAAAAAAACGGCTTGTTTTTTTAATAAAAAACAGGTTTTTTGAAAAAAAAAAATTGTTTTTTTCTATTTACTTATTAATAAGAGATATCTCGAGTAACGGTTTACGATTTGTGTGGCTCCGAAACCACAGTTCGGCAGCAACGGGAATCTTGTTAATGATTAATATATACAACCTATATATTTTTCTATTTGAATATATTTTACACGCGCGGACACACATTCACACTCTTCCCACATACACTGTAATTCATCTCGGAGTCGCGTTGTCGAGTCGTTATCGGCGCTTGAGACATTTTTTTTTAAATTATTACTTTGCATCAAGTGATCCTATTGATGCAATCTCGTTCTCAATCTCAATGTCGCCTCGATGTTCCCGTATATACAGGATGTCCCAGAATTAGACTGACAAACTTCAGGTGGTTATAAAGGACACCAAAACAAGCTAATTTTGTCAATAAACCAGTGTCCGCAAATGAACCGTTTTGACACCAGAGAATCAAAGACTAACAAGGGCAAAAATCTTCAAAAAAAATTTTTTTTTTCAAAATTTCATTAATATAATTTTGAAATTTTTTCAAAATTTTATTACTGCGATTTTAAAATTTTTTCAAAATTTTATTAATGCGATTTTGAAATTTTTTCAAAATTTTATTAAATAGAGGTGTTTTTACCATGAAACTTTTGTATAAAACATTTTTTGATATCTCGAATAATTTTTGATATATATCGAGAAAAGCAAAAAACTGCTCTACATGTGAGGGGTGATTTCACCCCTTAGAAGTTTTTGGATCGCAACTGAAAATTTCTAAATTTATCTGTTTACACCCCCCTCCCCCTGATGTCCTTTATAACCACCTGAAGTTTGTCAGTCTAATTCTGGGACACCCTATATAAGGCCCGTATGATCGCGCATCCGCTGGACCACTTTAATCGATAACCCCGAGCGTATCCTCGTTGAGACTAGATGGAGAAAAAAAAGGTCCGCGGAAAGAAGACTTCTCTATGCAAGTCATCTCAAAGCGAGTTTGCTCCGCGAAAATAAATTCGCGGGAGGCCTCGTCCATTTTCCCTCGCGTTTCATTTTCGCGATAGAGAATACCGCCGCGCTACAGACAGGTCACAGTATCTTTATTTAGCCTATAAGACACACCTATCCGCGTTTATTTATAGCCCAAGATAAAATTGCGAAGCAATGATAACAAAATTTCACTTCTATATCTATATCTATATGTTGTATTTTATATCGTTTATACATTGTTGAAAAACACAATATGGATATGTTAAATGGTAACACTATGTTAATATTTTAACACAAAATGAATGCAAACTCAATAGCAATTTGAAAGAAATTTTGCGTAAAATCAATATATTTTTAATAATAAAATTATATAACTTAGAAAAAATGTTATTGACGGTCAGTAGTCACTCTCACTCTTATTGTAGAATAAAAATAAATTTTTTTCTGTAAATTTTAACAGATAAATCCTATCACTAATAATACGGAACATATCTATTGTGCAAAACTAAAAATATGTGCACATTGTGTTATTTTTACACTTTTTTTCAGTTGTTTTAATAATTTAATATTTTAGTTCAATTAAGATAACAGCGTCAAATCAACATATATGAATATGTTAAATATTTAACACAAAAATGTTAATCAACACATTTTTTAGCAAGAAAAATATAAATTTTCCAATCGTATAAAAAAAATTTGTCCTCTTATCAATCTTAATCGATGTTTTAATAACCGATATATATGTGCTACACTGAAATATTTATTTATTTATTTATAAACGGAAAAAAGTCCTTTTAGTACAAAAAGAAAAATGTGATTATAATTTCAACATTATCAAAAAAAAACGCAGAATAAGATTCTGAGAGAAAAAATGAAAAAAGACAGACATTAAAAGTTACAAAAAAAAATAAAAATAAAAATAAAAAAAAAAATCTAATATAGCACATGTTTAAAAAAAAAAAAGCTTTCTTTTTGGCGTAATTACAGAAATCTCTCTGCAAATCACCGCGTGCAACAATAATATTCCTT